CTAAACTATATATGTCCCCATACAAACCTACATAATAAAATTGATCAAAATAGGTCGAGCCATTTTCGAGTTTTTACGGGACTAACGCGCGGCAATTGAATTTTTTATACTAGTTTAAAGAGTTGATTTTTATTGAGAGTCGTTTGTAAGTTGATTCTTAAATGTTTTTCACCTTCTTCTTCTTTATATATTTTAGTTTTTTGTTTAGAATCTTTTGAAACTATTTTGTTGTTTGTAAAACGTAGTGTACTTATTGTATCCAGCGTTGTATCACTGTGGATGAAATAGCTTCAGGAGGACTTCAAGCACTTGTTCTGCAGATGCTTCCAGATATTTCTCCATACCCTGGGGTCGAGATTAAATTTGTGTTTGAACCGTCACTCTCAGTTGAGTGTAGTAGTAGTTAGGAGTTATCAAATTAAATATTTAAAATAGTGCAACCTGTATCTGTATTTCTTACTGCTGGACGCTACCTACTCTCATTTCTGAAAGCATTTTGGGGGCAGGGGCAATATTCTGACCACATATGTTGCCTGTTTGCGGACTTCACGTGTCCTCAAAAAACCTATAATCTCTCAGATGTTTGTAACGGTGCGTACACATTATATAGCATAACATGTTATAAAACGTTGTTATATAACATGTTTCAGTAATCTGGATGTTGAATGTTATAAAACGTGTTATATAATTTTATATAACTCGAACGGTAGAACGACAAACGACAATGTCACATAACATTGTTATATTACATTATTATTCTAACGTGTACAGTATTGTTATAAGTTGCAATATTGAAAATCAATGTTACATAATGTGGACGTGTTATAAAACAAAAGTTACACAACATGTTACTTAATCTGTACGCACCCTAAGTAAACAACAACCATCCTATGTACTGTCACGCTAAAAAAATCTAATTATCTAATATAATCAAGCTTATAATTAGTTAAATCAATAATTTAAATAAACCGGCTGTGTAAAACGTTTACTAAAAAGAAAATAATCTTATACGCTATGTCACTCCCACAATTAAGAATAATCTAACCACAGTACATTTGTTAAAATCCATCAAGCCGTTTGGGCTACAGAGCGTGCCAAAGAAATAGATACACACACACACATACATACATAATCTTAAAAAGCATACCCTCCTTCTGGGGTAGACGGGTAATAAAAATCCGAACAAAAACAGTTTCACTGTAAAGCATCGCGCCAAGTACACTTTCAACTATAGTTACAAAAATAATAATTACATTTTTATAAAAAATTATAAAATAAAAAAAAAACCAAGTACATAACCGTTTTAGATTCGAAAAAAAAATTTGCTGAAAAAAGTAATAATAAAAAAATGGTGTACTTGGTGTGCATGATTAAGAGTATCGATCACCCAACTTGACATTGGAAGTCGTTTTTTTTATAACTTTTTTTAAGTTATGCTCGTACTATAAAGTATAATTTCATATCTTTTTGTAAAGTACACAATTTCTTTTTTTTTTCAAACAAAACAACAAAGTACATAATTTCTTTTTTTTTTAAAACAAACAACAAAAAAATTTTCTTTTTTTTCGCTTTAATTTTGCTTTATAGCAAAATTAAATTTTCGATAATTGACATTTTTAAATTAATTCTAAATTAACTAATAGCAATATAGGTGGTGCAAGTGAGTCGTCTGCCAGCTGTGCTTGGGACAGCACGCTGTCATTTTTTGTCGGGAACTCGGAATAATTAGGCGCGGCCAGTAAATATACGGTCTAGGTTTGTGACGCGCATTCCTTGCTGGAGAGCTTCCCAGGGACTCATTGTGTCTGACTCAGAATCTGCATAAGTGCATTCGGCAATATTAGCTAGTGCGGCCTTTGATATTCTAGAAATAACTGTTGCTACGCGAAACGGTAGTGACCTTTGATCCGGACACTCCGTGTTCGTTTTGTGTGTTAACCTTATAACAAACGAGAGTTAGTGGCTTCTGTAAGTTAGTTAATCGTACGATAGAGTTAATGGACTGTCATCGTGACGAACGAGGAAAGTGACTGTGGACAACGCCGCGGAAGGTTCCCTCAATTTTGGAGCAGCCTGGAACTCGGCCGCTGCTGGTCGCCTATGCTTGCCAAGGCCCCACACATTCACACCTCACTGTACACTACTCGCCATCCCCTATCACACACACACTCACGGCCTGCCCAAGCCTTGGTGCGAAGTTAGCTCCGGATAATGGTAAGTACTATGTGTTTCTAGCTTTCTCCCATATTCTTTATTGTAATTAGGAAATTCCACGTGGCCATATTCTGGCCCCGTCCCTCTGCTGCTCGTCGATGGGATTACTCATGGGCCCTAATCCCGTCATCCTTGGTTGGGGCAGCTAGAGGCGTGTACAATAGCAAAATTAAATTTTCGATAATTATTATTTTTAAATTAATTCTAAACTAACTAATAGTCTCTAACTAATAATAAGCAAAACTAACTAATAAGCAAGAGGTAGAGCGATTGTGGATTTTGCTGGAGCATTTAAGGAACAATTAATTGCCATACAGTTTTTTTTAAAAGTAGATATGTTATGTTTTATAGCAATTTTAATTTTCGATACTTATTTTTTTTAATTAATTATAAATTGACTAATAGCAAAAGAGGTGAAGCAATTTCCGATTATGCTGGAGCATTTAAGGAGCAATTGATTGGCATATAGTTTACTTAAAGAAAATAATGTTCTACGCTAACTTCCTTCTGGTTACAATCATGTTCACAATTAACTTCACAACACCTCATTCCCAGGGGTTATTTTCATCCATAAATTCCTTAATATTATAATAACCCTTTTTATACAAACTTAGTTTAATAAAGTTTTTGAACTTTGAGCAGGTCAAATTTAGTAAATTTAAAAAAAAATCCAGTTGTTCTAAAAGCTTATACATCGCCCCAAGAATGAATTACTGACTCGGTGGAGTCGAGTAACTAGGGCGTAACTAGACTAAGTATAATCTACTATTTACTCTGTGGTGTGAATTGTGGAGTGAAACTAAGCGAAACGAAACTGTGGAATATATAGATTACATATATTTAACAAAAAAAAAACTCTACTTGTCAATGTCACTTTGCATTTTAGCGCGTTTAAAAAAACAAGGTCTGTCTGCAAAGAACTTTGTTGGTAATTTTTTTTTTAAAGATATAGTAACTTAAAGAGCAAGTTTTGTGTTTAACATTACTGACATAGTTTTAACTTATCGTTTCGTCATCTAACATATCCAAAGCACAATCTAATACTTTAAATTATCTACCTGCTTAGACGCCTTGAGATAATATTGCCAACTATCTACTGGCTCAAGTTGCCGTCGAAATCGCCAAAGGGCTGCGCAATGTGACGCATCAACATATTGTAATGCAGTGTAATATAAAGGATTATAATCATTTAATACTGAGATAAATGAAAACATGGCTTAAAAGACAAGCATTCAAGTCAACAATCTTTAAAAAGATAAAACATTCCACCGAAATTAAATTAATAAAATCTTTTGTGGCATCGGAAAAGTACGCAAGCAAAAATTTGAGATATTGAAAAGTATGAAATAATTTATAGATAGAAATAATTTTTAGTGTTATATGGAAACAATTGATAAACAAAATGATAAATGACTGTATAAAGTGTTGATGTTTCGTAAATAATTAAATATATGAAGTTAAAAATTTGGTGAGGTTATGTTGACATCTGATTCGAGAATATATATAGTGCCACCAACTTATCTGTTCAGTTGACAGCGTCGCTAGTGGAGTGGTTACTATTGCCATTTAAGAAATTCACCGAGGAAATAGGTAACAACATATTCATTACACATAATATAAAATAAAACAAATTTCGTGTTAATATATTAAAATTGAGAATTAGTGTTATTATATATATACTATTTTTATTTTATAAAAATAATTGTGGTCGTGATCTCGGAGTTCAAGCGGCCGAATACCAGGAATTTCTGTTTTGAAAAATGTACCCGCGTAGCTACTGGTTCCAATAATTCATCTTCTGGAATCGCTTTCACTATCGCTCTGACACTGTAATAAAGGGTTCATTTAAATACGCGTCTTTTAGTCTGTATTCATTTTCAATTTTTTTACATGATTACAAATGTTATTTGTAAATTTATGAAATAAATCTTCAATTAATTGGGGCATTAGAACATTAGCAACACAAACTACAAAGCTAGGTACTTTAGATGAATTGCAGTAAATTGAGATAATTTTTTTACTATGTTTCATAAGTACATTATTTGGTGATTTTAACTTTCCATATCTGGCAATACTAACCTGTCGCGGCAGCTACGCGTTCTTACAGCTTTTCAAATGGTATAGTTGGGATTCGTACACGTTTCTCTTCTTCATAAACGATAAAAATTTTAGCATAATCTATCGCGCATCACTTTTAAGACCTTTAGGCATTTTATTGACACTTTTTAAAAACGCTCACCTGATAGCTTAGAATAAATAATAGCTGACAGCGAAATGTCATTTACAAAATGGCGGCTTTAGTTCCAATTTTGTCCACCTGAACAGATAAGTTGGTGGCACTATACACTGTGGTCTCACGTTTTCACGCCTACACGTTTACATACATATACATATGTTGAACGTGTACTTGGCGTGAGACACTACTGTGTCTCCGGTTTTTACATAAAACAAAATTAATGACGTGGGTAGATAACAGGGGTACGATCTGTATCTATTTGTACTTTTGTTATCTAAGGGGTATAGAGTTCATGGTCCGATTACGCTTTCATCATTTTTGTCATTAAAAGAAAATTAAAGTATCAAAAAAAATGTTATTTTTTAATCCAGTTTTAAATCGGTTATCAGGCATAGACAACAATTGATATTTTAAAGGACAATTATTATATTCGGTCAATATTTTCTATTGTACTGATTATTTAATTAATACTAAGACAATATACTTTTAATTCTATATAAGAATGAACAAGTGCAAAGTAAAATCATAAGTTTACTTGATTTCGTATAAAATGGCGGGCTCCTTAATCACAGCCGGATTTGCAGCTTTAGCGATTTTAGTTAACGGTGCGTTTGTAATTTAGTTACTAGATTGTGTGAAATATAAATCACGAACAGTAATTTAAAGCAGTGTAATCGTGGCGTGAGAGAATCAATCATTCCATTCATCGTGAGTTTTGTAAGAGGCGATTATGGGAAATATGAGAGAATCCATGACCTTCTATGGCGGATGGGGGTCTCCAGACAGAGAGGGAAACAGCGTCAAGCGCTTGCCCAGTGTGATGATTAAAGGTATTAGGAAACAGATACCCTTTTTACTGAAAACGAGGTATTCCATCTTAGTTATTAAGGGTGAACGCATGTGCATTTTCACTTAAGCTCACTTTTCGCGTAATATATATTATATCCCGAATATAAATTATATCCCGCGATTGGCTTTCACACTGTGAGATATATCGTTTAACCAGTGTGCGTTCGTCATTGGATTACATTTACACCGCATTCGTCGTTTACAAACAAAATGGATATGTGCTTGATAGCCTCGACAGTTTATCAGAGGGAGATGATGCAGAATTCGGTTTGTGTGTTACTTTTAAATAAAACAGGGAGCGTCGATACTGGATATTAAATCATATAAAGTTTAGAGAGGAATATGGTGAATTTAGACCTTTTAATGAATTCTCTATTAAGAAAATTTACGAATACAACTGAGTATACGCACTACGCAAAAGTTTATTCAAGTAATGACAGACACGAAATTGAGGACGTAGCGGCGGCGCGGATCGGTGTGCGAGGTACAGGGGGCGAAATATAATATAAAAATATCGCTCGGTCAATCGAAAAAATATTTATAGTATGAGATGAAATATGTGTTAAATCTCAGTGTAAACGGTTCCATTAAAAAGTACGGTGATGAGCGATGTTAATTTATATCTCGAGATTATAATATATATTACATTATATCCCATAGTGAAAAGCGGGCTTTAATCGAGGATAAATGTAAATGTCTATGGGCCACTGCATCCACTTACCATCAGGTGGACTGTGCGCTCGTTTGTCACCCTTATTCTATAAAAAAAGTGTACTTGTTCTGTGCTCTTGCTAACTTATATAAAAAATTACAGGGCATCCAGTAGAAAATAACGAACTTATTAGGCGTTTGGGTGTACCATCGCGCATAGTAGGGGGTGATACTGCTCCTGAGGCCTACGCTCCATACATGGCAGCACTGGTTTGTGGCGAATCCGTTAAAAGCCTTATATGTGGAAGCTCAATCATCAGCAAGCGGCATATTCTGACTGCTGCTCATTGTATTGATCCCGTGGTTGTAAATGACGTTTTAATTTCGTAAGTTTTTTATCTTAAAAAGAACACCTTTGGGAAACTTTTGGTTTTATAAATAGTAATTTTCTATCAATTCTACTAGTGATTCTTATCGATTACTAAAAGATTAATATTAACCAAATATTAATTGAATTTTTTAAACCTTTGTCTTTGCTCTGGAATATCTTCGAACTATTTTGAGGAATCTCAATAAAATTAATTTAAATGTTTGACGCTGTAACATTGCTGAAGTTTTTAAATTATATTAGTAACAAAATCTTTTAGAAGATGTTTGTGAATGTCGTATCTGTCTTATTGGTCTAGTGGTCGTCACCGCGACTGAATCGATTATTAGGTCCCGGGTTCAAATCCCGGGTCGGGATAAAATCACTGATTGTGTTTTAGGTCGATTCTCAAACAGTAGTCCTGTCCTGCGCAAATTGTAGCACACCGTCGAGGCGGGCCGCCATGACCGAAATTCAGTCTAGAGGACATTTTTTTGTTTTTAAACAACGTTACACCCGCACTAGGATTTTTCCCTGTATCGAAGTGGCAGTATACAAACATAAATTACACAATGCCAACGTGCAGACCCAGAACAATTATTCGTAGGTCATACAAATACTTATTCCGTGCGGGATTCGAACCCGGGGCCCCCAGCGCTGCAAATTATTGCTAAGCCACTGCGCCACGGAGCCGTCATAATATTTTACACAACGTTTATTATATTTTACACAACGTTAATTATATATACTATCGGACTAGCCCGCCAGTCACAAGGCTGTGAAATTTAAAATTTGCAAGTTTTTGCTTTCGATTGCCGATTTCTAGTTAACCATGGCACGTGTACCGCCAATTCTCTACCATCCTACTCTGTTTTTTTGGATGCTTATTTAATTTCATTGTTTTTTTTTATATATATATATATATAGGAGGGAGCAAGAACGAAGAGAGAACGAAGTGTGAAATATGGGTAAATCAGGAATGTCTAGAACAGGTAAATGAAATTGTATACTTGGGGAGTGCTTTTAGCCGGGATGGAAGATGTGATTTAGATGTGGACAGGCGTGTCGCTGTCGGGAACAAAGTCAATGGTGCCCTGACTGCGTTAGTCAAAAGGCAAGGCGTAGCGAAGAGTGCACGCCTTGCAATACATAACGCAGTGTTGGTACCGACTTTGTTATATGGCAGCGAAACCTGGGTATGCCAGAAGAAGCATAAAAGTAAGTTGAATGCAGTGGAGATGCGATCTCTTCGTAAAATGTGCGGCGTTACCATGGCCGACCGAAAGCGAAACGAAGAGATTCGCAATATGGCAGGTTTGAAAGATGACCTTATCACAAAAATTGATAAGGGCGTGCTTCGGTGGTTTGGGCACGTTGAGCGAATGAGTGAAGACCGAATGGTGAAGAAAATATATAGCGCGAAAGTTAATATTAAAAGGTGTCGAGGTAGACCGAGACTAACTTTCGAAGACCATGTGAGCAAATTGCTCGAAGAGGGTAGGGTCAAAAGTACTCGGATACCTAGACGTGCATGCATGAAGAAGATAATGAATGTGAAAGAAGCGAAAGAGGTTTGTAAGGATCGTGACACTTGGCGATCTGTTCTCTCTGGCTACCCCGTCAGGGATTGTGCGTGAAGATAAGTAAGTAAGTAAGGAGGGAGCAAACATGCATGCGGTTCAACTGTAAGTGACTACGACCGCCCGTGAACAACGGCAACATAATATAGATTATATAAAATTAAAAACACCGCAATAGCCTAAACAAATTCCTAAAGCTTCCCTTAAGGTGGAAGCTTGGAATTTGCAGGTCAGGGTTAGGTTGTATATTCAAAATATGATTCGCTCGCGAGTTTTTCTGGAAAACTCATTCAAAGGGCTACTATGAACTTACAGGGTTGTATTGGTGATTTTAATGATAATAATTCTGTAAATACATAATCGCTACGGTCGCGAATCATATTTTGTTAAATATACAACCTAACCCCGACCTGCAAATTCCAAAAAACGCAAGAAAATTTGAATTTCGCGGGCCACCCTTGAGCTTCCACCTTAATAGGATAACTTCGGATACAGTTGAACTCGTATACACATAACGACGTTTATTCCCCTTAATTAAATTACTCCGTCGTATAATTTAAATGATTTTCTTTTATAGATCATTTCATGCAGTAATCGGCTCAAATTTATGGAATTCAACGAAGCACATTGCAAAATTCAGCAACTTTCTCAATCATCCGTCTTGGGATAGCCAGCGAATCAAAAACGATGTAGGGGTTTTGAACCTTACTAAAGAATTGGAACTGAACGATAGAGTTGCTGTTGTGACCTTGAGCTTCGACTGGATTAATGGAGGTGTTCGTAGTTCTGTTACTGGATGGGGCAGGCTTGGTGTTACGACAACTGGACATATTGTGGTTAGCTACGGTTTTGTAAATATTCACTATTGTTATTTATTTGTTGACAGTCACAATAAGTTGCTTTCAAGCTATCTACCAACTTCAAAAAAAGGAGGTACTCAATTCGAATGTATATTTTTTATGTGTGTTACCTCATAACTTTATTCTGGGTGAACCGATTTCGATGATTCTTTTTCTATTTAAAAGCTGCTGCTTCCCATGTGGTCCCATATTTGATTAAAGTTTCACCAATAGTTTTTGAGTTATCCTTAATAATATACATTGAAGTCGGTTGTACACAAATTTTAATTTTAAATTATTTTGCCATTCTAATAGCTGCATCCTGACCCTGTTCTTCTTCTTTCTTTCCTGCTTGTTCTTGATATGCTGTTATACACCCATTGTTACGGTTATCATTACCATAACCATTACAACCCTTTAGCAATGAACTCGTCCATTGCTGAACATGGGTCTCCCCCGGGGAATGCACACACAAGCACGGTCATGAGCCTTGATGGATCACTGGTGGCTCAGTATCGGTGGCTAACTACTCAACACTAACTCAAATGCAACTCGATTCCAGTTATTACGTAGGTTATGAAAATTGCTGAATACGGGTCGCTCCCGCGGGAATGCACACACAAGCACGGTCATGAGTATCGATGGATCACAGGCGGCTCAGGACACGTGGCTAACAACTCAACACTAACTGAAATGATACCTGATTCCAATTATTGCGTAGGTTATGAAAATAGCTGAACATGGGTTTCCCCCTAGGAATACACACACAAGTACGGTCATGAGCCTCGATGAATCACAGGTGGCTCAGGATACGTGGCTAACAACTCAACACTAACTCAAATTAAGCCTGAAACCTGATTTCTGAATTATTACGTATGTTATGAAAACTAAGTTAAAAAGGCCTATGAATTGGATGAATAGTTAAATAAATATGTAATTATTAACTTTCCAGATAATGTATCCTTATTCCGATGAATTGCAACTTCTTTATCTAGAAACAATGTCCCCTCAACAGTGCGCTGCGGCTTTAGACAAAGCTGCCACTACGTGGAACTCCTCACTCGTTTTAGATTCGGAACTAGAAATGTGTACCTTGCACTCTGTTGGACATGGGTTGTGCTATGTGAGTATTTTCTTAATTCAGTTTGTATAATTACTTGCTTGTAAAAAAAATTAAAGTAAAAGTTACAGCCTATAATTGTCCCACTGCTGGGCGCAGGCCTCTTCTTATTTCTAGAAATATCTGTTGACGCGCCTTGGCAGTTAAACCTCATAAGCCGTCATGCCGCCTTTACGCTACCGCTCTAGATTCCTTAGTGTGTGCGTGCTCGTATACTATACACTACGTTGCTCTCTGTGTGGGTTGTGTACTGCGTGTGCCTTTATATTCGACTATACATAACTATAGTATAGGTACCTACTTGACGCGTTCACTGTTCGTATATACGCTTTGTATTTATTTTTAATATTATTTTTATTTTCCTTTATTGGTTTTTTCATTTCATTTGTTGTTGTGATTGGGGGTATATTAAAAAAATCAATTTTTAGGGTGACTCTGGCAGCCCGTTGATATCCAGGGAAACGGGGCATCAGATAGGAATAGCATCGTGGGCGCATCCTTGCGCTCGAGGTGTTCCCGACGTTTTCGCAAGGATCAACAGCTCCAAAGACTCTTTACTTCCTATATTAAGAAGTTAATAATTAGAGTGTTTATTACCTAAGTTTTATAATACATAAAGAATCAATAAAATGTGATATTGTAAACATTCAATAATAAAGTATTATATATACATATACACACACACACATATATATATATATATATATATATATATATATATATATATATAACCATACGAAACACAGCAGTGTCAAGCTGCTATTTTACGAGCGTGGTCTTTCCCCCGTCGAACTGAGCCATTGGTGCTACAACTACTACTAATATAGTTGCAGTATGACTCTACCACGTATATTTCTTCCTGATAACAACACAAAATTACCCACAAGGTAAAAATAAAATTAGGTAATCACTGCAGCGTTTTCCAGGTAGAACTAGTTGCAATATTGAAGGCACTCAGTATCATAAAAAGCAAACGGGGATTTAGTAAGTCTAATATACTGAGTGATTCTCGGTCGGCCCTGGAAAGCCTTTCAAATCCTAGCACTCTTAATCCTCTGGTAGCTGAAATTCTAGAAGATATAGAGGAAATACGTAACAACCAAGGCGAGGTGAAGTTCTTCTGGATTAAAGCTCATTGTGGAATTCCAGGGAATGAAAGAGCTGACGAATTGGCGACATTAGCAGCGCAGACGTCTAAGCAAGCGCCGACTTACGACTATTTCCCACTGTCCTTTGCAAAGCGTCAAATCAGGGGCAACTCAATTATAAGGTGGCAAAAAGGTATAGCACATCCAACACAGGGTCTACGACAAGAAAATTCTTTCCTTGTATAAGAGAAGCATATAAAACTATGTGTAAAGTAAAAATGAACAATTTCATTTCACAAATTCTGATAGTTCACGGAGGCTTTAAATCATAACTGTTTAGATTTAAGTTGTCACAAAGCCCCCACTGTAGCTGTGATAATCAAACATCGCATACAATAGAGCATATACTTTTAGACTTTCATGCGAGCAAAGTATGGGCTTTGCGCTAAAAGAGGAAACCTTATGTAAAGCTATTAACAGTAATGACAGTCGATTTCACTTTCGAAAATTCGCAAAACAAAGCACTGAAATCATTCCCAAAGAGAATAATTCAAAAGACAAATAACAAATATTGATATATATGATAGATATATTGATATATTGAATAATAAAACTTTTATACTCACATTTAGAACCACAAAGTAATAAATGAACAAAGTAACGTAGTAATACTAGCAGAAATAAAAGGATTGTTTTAAATAGTAGAAGAAAAAGAAATGAATTAGTTTAATAGAAGTAGATTAAAACAGACTATGTATGTACTTAGAGTAAAATATTAATTTAATAGCGAAACACATAATAATTAGTAATAAGTTCAACTATATTATAATATGTGCAAAAGCATGTGTAAAAAAATGTTTCCTATGCTATTATTAACAAATAACAAGGAAAAAGAAAGAAAAAAAATACTCACATCAAGATGCAGAAAATATGTAAAGTTATGTCAATGTAATTGTACAGTAAAAATAGTTGATTGGAAGGATATTATACTAACAGAAATAAAAGGGTCGTTGTAAATAATAAAAGATAAGAAAATGAAGTAGTTAATGTAATTAGCTTCAGATAATGTAATTAGCGTAAAACATTGAAAAAGAGTAGCGGAATAGTAATAAGTTTTAAAAATGTAAGTGTTAATTATAAATTATTTAAAAAAAAATATAAAAACAAAGTATAAAATGTTTAAAGTAAAATAATTTAAAAAAAACGTATAAAAGGTGCTGTAAAAGAAACAACAGCAGATGAACTGTGATATAATAATAAAAAAAAAACAACACAACATTATAAAAAACAGCGGTTGTTAATTCGCTTGTCAAGCGCGGCAACTATGGCAACATCCGCCCTATTAGGCAATCTATGCTCAGCAGTGGACTTTTATAGGTTGTAATGGATAGATGTTAAAAAAAACAGATCACTGAATTTTTTACATAGTAGAGACATTCTGCAGAAATATTATGATTGCAGCACGGGTCGGCTCGACCGGAAAGGGACCACGCTCTCGCAGAATACCAGCGTAAAATATCAGCTTAACACTGCTGTGTTTCTTATGGTGAGTGTAGAGAACCGGAGACCCATTTTACTGGAAAAGTGGCATTCCATCTTAGTCCACTTTTACTAGAAATGAGGCTTTCCATCTTTGTCCTCAGGGGTGACAACGCATCTGCATTTTGATTCTTAATCGAGGATTGATTTGAGAGTCATGTGTGCTCGTTTGACAACATTATGCAAATTAAAAAAAATCCGCGTAATTGGATTAAGAAATTAATAAGAGAGTTGTGAATGAATTTAATTAGATACGTATGGCTTGAATACGACGCAAGCTACGTACGCGATGCCGATCCAGTAATTGCAGATTTTTGGTGGAAGGGTTTATACAGCAGTGTTTTTTTTTTATAGGAGAGGGGGCAAACGAGCATGTGGCTCACCTGATGGTAAGTGACTACCGCCGCCCATGAACAACTGCAACACCAGGGAGGGAATTGCAGATGCGTTGCCGGCCTTTTAAAAAGGAGTACACTCTTTTCTTGAAGGTCCCTAAGTCGTATCGGTCCGGAAAAATCGCTGATGGTAATCGATTCCACAAGGAAGTCGTGCGAGGAAGAAAACATCTTCTAAATCGCACAGTGGTGGACCGCCAATCATCCAGATGGTGTGGATGGTATCGGGAGTTCTGCCGCGACGTGCGTTCGTGAAATTTGGCGGCTGGGATTAATCCGAACAATTCCTCAGAGCACTCCCCATGGTAGATGCGAAAGAAAATGCAAAGGGATGCCACATCTCTTCGCAGTGCCAATGAATCGAGCCGATCGGAAAGGGCTCGGTCGTCGACGATTCGAGCCGCTCTGCGCTGAATGCGGTCAAGTGGAAGGAGCTGGCACTGGGGAGCCCCTGCCCAGAGATGGGAACAGTATTCCATGTGAGGCTGAACCTGCGCCTTGTAAAGTTGCAGGTGGTGTGCCGGCATGAAATACGGTCCCGCTCTGCTGAGAACGCCAAGCTTTTTAGAGGCCAATTTGGCCTTATCTTCCAAGTGACCACGAAACTGCACGTCACTCGATATGTCGACTCCGAGGATACCGATACTGGCTGAGGCAAGAAGGGGAGTGCCTTGAAACTCAGGAGATACGACAATGGGATTCTTTTTAGCGGTTAACGCGCAAACTTGTGTCTTCTGAGGATTAAACTGGACTAGATTTAGTCGCCCCCAATCCGAGACTTTGTTCAGCAAAGACTCGACTTCAGACACAAGTTTGTTCCGGTACTCGGCGACGTTTTCCCGTTGTCCAGGGAGAGAAGTGCTTTGCGAACCGAGCGCTGTGAGAACAGCACATCCGGCATGGAGCACTCACAACGCAGGATGGTCGGCGGTGTTTTCCCCCCGTCATCAAGAGACGAGTTGGATGCTAAGAGGGAGCCTAAAAGGTCGGCTTTATCTTTTGCGTCTTGGGCCAGTGAGTCGTCCTCCCTGTGCAGAGATGGTAGTGATGGCTTACAGAAATTCCCTTGGACAGCCTTGGCGAGAGACCAGAATGCACGGGTTCCCGAAGGAAGGCGAACTAGTTTCTCGCCAATTCTGCCTATGTGCTCTGACTTTGCCTTGGCAATAACTCTTTTGAAGGACCTGGAGGCGAAGTTATACTTCTTTTTAAGTGTGCTGGTGTTTACATCCCGAGTCACCGAAGCCGCAGCCCAGGCTTGATAACACTCCTGCTTACTGCGTAATGCAGTCTTACAGGAGCGACCAAACCAATGCTGAGAGGTAGACCTCCGATGGGTACCACAGATTATGGAATAAATAGTTCCATTCCCTGTAGCACCACATCAGTGACAGAGTCAGCAACAGCGCTGGGATCATCCGGTGAGAAGAAAACCCGCCCCCATGGGTAGGAAGCAAAGAAAGACCGCATTTCGTCCCAATCCGCCGACCTGTAATGCCAAACACGGCGGCAACCTGCAAAACGCAACCGCGAGGGGAGCGTGAGTGGCACCACACTCCGGATCAGACAATGGTCCGAAGAGCCGAGAGGGCATCGACGGAAACCTGATATCCGTCCGGATGAGAGGTCAGCAGAATGTCCAACAGGGAAGGTGTATGATCCTCCACATCTGGAATCCGCGTAGGCGAAGTAACCAGTTGTGTCAGACCATATGCCAAGGCAAAGTCATAAACAGATCTCCCCGCATGATCGGTTAAACGTGAACCGAGCCATTCGGCGTGGTGGGCGTTAAAATCGCCAAGGATCACGATCTCTGCGGATGGGACCTGTTGTAGCAAGGAATCTGTAGCCATTTGGACGTGGTCGATGAGTCGGTCTGTTTCGGCATTACGGCTATGGGACCTATAGAGGCACCCGTAGACGCGCGGATGGTCGTCGCTGTCTACGCGTAACCAAAGGATGGACAGGTCCGAACCTTCAAGACTGCCGAGGCGTCGAGAACAGATGTCTCTCTGACATACACGCAAACTCCAGCCCGAGGCACAAAGGAGTGCTCCAATTTGTACCCCGGGTAGGAGAGGCAGGGGTCGCCTTGGTATTCTTGCTCAGTTTGCCCCGAGCAGTTATGTTTTTGAGCGGAATTTTGCCCCCCCCCCCCCCCAGAATACGCGGAGCAGCCTGAGCACCCACGCTCAGGATTGGAATAACATGGTCGTGGATGCTCAGCGAGGGATTCTCCAGGGGTACTGGTACCCTCCTGGGGTAGTCTGTTATGTAATTCCGCTACCATGTTGATTGGGGGAGGGGGGAATTAGGCCTCCGGCCACTTGCACTCACCAGACGAAACGCAGAAGCAGAGCTTCTACTTCACGCCGGTATTCTGTGAGGTCGCGGTACCAACCCGGCTCGAGCCGGCCCATACGTGCAACAGCAAAAACTGCTGCGTGGCTCTACCAAGTAAGTGTGCAAAGTGCTATACGATATTTATATATATACTGGGTGGCGATTAGATTATCATATTAAATAACACAGCGGTATACACAAGTTCATATATGT